AAAAAAAAATTCAATTGATGAGTCATTGAATTATTGTTCCTTTTCTATAAACATCTACAAAAAAATCACAGATCTATAGAAACGTTTTCATTTGACTGATTATTATTGAGTTGAATTGGTATGCATCAATTTTTTTTTCAATTCAATATTTTTTATTTATATTCTCATTTTTTCTATAATTCGTTTTTTTATGGCATTCATCTGAATGATTGTAAAGCCTTTTGTATGTGGAGGTTCGTCAATCAAGTACGTTTATTTCAAGATTGAAATTTACTTGCTAACTCACAAAATAATGTACCACAAGTATCAGAACACCTCAAACAAAATAAAACTTTTTCATATATACAATGCTTAGTATCTTATATCTGTCTGTTGTGGCAAATATTCGTAAAAACAAAATATATTTCACATTGAACTTCTGACTAATAATCAGTCAAAATGTTTACAGGAAAATTTGTATTTATTGTACCTATTTGAAAAACGTGAGTTATTTCGAATGATCATATAGTTAGCGCTAAACAATTGCACTTAGTTTTTTCTACGTTGAAAAATAGTGTACAACATGCACTCTGAATAACTAATATATTATTGATATTATAATAACTGTTTCGAAGATCAGAAAAGCTAGCAATAATCTATTGAAATTAATCATGAAATACAAATCAATTCAGAGAACTAAGATTATAAAAAAAGGAAAGAAGAAAAATCACCTCATAGGTGCTGCTTCGTTCCCTCCTGTTCATATAAGACGACATATGCCTCATCGCTCACAAGTGATTTTGGCGAAATTGAGAACACGTGTGAATCGTGGTATTCATGCCACGTGCCACTATATAGGTGTCTGCAATATGCTGTGTAATGCCTGTTGTAAGTAGTCCCACTGTGATTTGAAAGTGCATATAGATTATAACGACAAGGAGCCACGTGCTGCATAATTGCTCATATCTAATTCATCTAAAGGATCTAAAGGAAAGTCAATGGAAGTATTAAATTTGCCTCTGAATCTTTCTGTTGGAGAGAATCTTTTCAAATGAATTACTGAAATTCAGGGAAACTTATAGATTGATAAGGACTTTGTACATACCGGCACTGTTTCTTCAATTCAGTATACCATACTTCATGTGGGAGTGAAAGTGCAAAGTACAGCATAAGCAAGACATTTTTGCTGCAGTGGTCTTTCATATACTTTATGCTGTAGCAATTACATCTCAGCTTATCAGATAATAGACAATCGTTGAAGCTGAGGCCTATTTTGAGGCTAAAGACAAATCGTATTGTAAAAATAGTATCGAAAAAATGTATGACCGCTATAATCATTGTATCGCTCTCGAAGACAACTATATTGAATAATAAAATCAAATTGTATTGACAAAAATTCTGTTAACCTGCGACTTTTTCAGCTAAGCTGTTACATATATTATTCCAAACACTAAGGATGATGATGCATAAAACTATTAATTTTCATTTAAAAAAAAAAAACTGATATTGTTTATTACCGTGTCATTGATATATTACCAGTGGAAAACTTCTTAAGTAAGGAAGAAAACATTGTCAAATATCTGTCAAATCTGTAAGGAAACGTGTACACTATCCACAACAAGAATAAAGAACCTATCTAAAATAACTCACTATCATTATGACTAAAAACGTTTAGTCCTGACAGTGTCAGAAGAGATACATACACTTATTGAAAAATTTTCAGTAAAATATGTTGATTTTTCTTTGCCGGTCAATGGAGAAGTAGGAATCCGAAAAAGTTAGATTTTTTATTTGAATTTTAGTTGGACTACTTTCAAAATCGATAAATTTCAAAGTGATTGGCTTGTCGAGATATATGCAGAAAGTTTCCATATGACAGTTATAATATTTTGTATCAAAAACTTTTAGACTATTCCAGTTAATCATTTCAATGGCATAAGACTAATCCAAGCCAATGGGTGTAACAATCACCCATTGACTTGGAATAAAGACATCTAAAAAGAGCAATAAAACATTGATTACAATCTGGAAGAATAGTTTCAGACAAGATCAATAAAAATATAACCTAAATTAACATAGTGGAAAGTGAAAATAATTTACTTTGACATTTAAATTGTATAAGTAACAAATGAAAACTTGAACACTTTCAGTAATGGTAATATTATAAATAATTCAAACTGTCACGCTGTTCTGAAAAGTGATTGGTACAAAATATTGAAACAATAGTGCTTTGTGGAATCTCTTTGAATAATTATATAGTTTTTTTTTCAACAATTGACGAAGTTTCTCTTCCACAACTTTTTTGTGCCTTGTGTGATATAATTTTTTGAATATACTCATTTTCGTACTCGATAATTGCTATTTTTACAATTATATATTCTTTACTTATATATTTATAGGGTGGCCCAGGATATTCAAAAAAAACTGTAAGGATTCTAGAATATTCTGGGTGTCTTTGGATGGTTTTTATATCGGTGAATCACATTGAGGACGATTTGAATTTTTCTCAAATTAGTCAAAAATCGTAAAACTTTATTGAGGCTGGAAAAAGATATTTTGTCACTAGAATATTTTTGTTATGTGCTTCATTATTTGAAAAATATGTGCCATAGCCTTATAGTATTTTTCATTCCGTGACTAGATATTAATTTTTACATTTTTCTTCCCCTCAAGTTGATTCATCTTGTATATTATTGTGTATGTATTTGCTTATGTGTTTGTTTATATATTTGATTATATTTATAATGCTGTGAATTTTCTGCTATATTTACCTCAAAAAAATAGAAAATAAAAAAAGCATTTCAAGACTGAATTCACTTTTATTCAAAATTCACCATATAATTTTTCTATTTATATTTGTCCTTAATTACACAATCAGAAAAATAAACAAAGCTAAATCAATAGAGAATTGGCAAATGTGTAATAAAGGGCAAACTGAAAAGTTCATCCTTCGAAAAGTTACTGCGTTACTGCCTAATATAAACCACTGAAGTGTCCAATTAGTTAGTAACTTGTCCTATTCATATATTTTGCCTACAAGTTTAAAAATCAATTGAAAAAAATTAAATGTTTATAATTGGTTTCCTTTGGTGGTCGACGTTTCGGAAAACATCATTTTTCCGATTTCAAAAACCTTTCAGAAGTCGAAATATACGTTCGCACTGTATATTTTGAGCATAAAATGGAGAATTAACTAAGATATCCATTGTTTTCTATTTGTTCGCTGTATTCTCGAATAAAATATAAAAATCATGAATCATGACACTAACTAAAACAAAACTGTAACTAGAGTCTACAGGTAGCAGCCGCAGTAGATAATCAATAATGAATATAATAGTTTCTCAGTAAAATTATCATTGAAACATTAACTTGCCCATACAATATGAGCCTTGGGCTTGTGTTGATAAAATGAAAAATGAAGGCAGATTGTAGCAGTCATACACATCGGGATCAAAAAATGTAAAGCGAGCATTAAAAAAAATCAGCTTGAGTTGAAATATTTTGCCTAAAAACTCTATACCTAAACCACTCTTGTCAAAGGAATGATAAAGAGATCTAACATATTTCAGTATTTAATTCACAGAAGTGCTGGATACAACTCAAGAAAAGCAGCCTGGCAATGTCATAATATCAAGTTGACACTTCGATTTTCAGTGTTGTTTATGATTTGGAATAAATTGATATTTGGCGAAAGAATATTTTTTTTACGTTACCGACTTCGATGCTTGCTCCATCTACCAACATGTGTACAAAGTTCTTCAATTTCATTTTTCGCATTGATACTTTTTGACAAAACAAAAGCGAGTGGGTTAATTCACGAGCGATTCTGCGAAACCAGAGAGAAACAAATTCAATTTCTCGCGTTGAGAGTATTTAACAAAACGAAGCCGAACCGGTTAATACGTCAGGATTTCAATGCATCTTTGTTATTTTCTAGTTTTGCACGAAGATACATAGAAACACTAGTGTTCTAACACGTGTGTACACGTGTTGATAGATGGTGCAAGATTCTAAATCTGCCGCGCGTTTTTTATATTTTGTATCTTCAATTAATGTCACATTATGTAAAAATCTTTCAGCAAAAATCAAGTTATTCAAAAATGAAAACAACATTGAAAATTGAAGTGACAACTGACATTGTCAAGCTACGTCACTTGAATTATACTCAACACCTATGTGAATGAAATGCTGAAACTTATTCGATCCATATCTTTATCAAGAATGCCATAGGTCGATAGTTTTTGACAAAATATTTTGTCACGTGAAATGCTAAAATTTATTGAATCTCTTTAATATTTTTATCAAGAATGCCACAGGTCGATACTTTTTGACATATTATTTCGTCACATGAAATTCTAAAATTTATTGGATCTCTAGCATTTTTCGACGTAATCAAATTCAAAACAGAATGGCCCAAAAACATATAGGTACTTCATTATCTTTCAAAACCTAAAACTAGTGCGATTATGCATTCATATTTTTTGCCAGGAATTAAAACGTTACCGGTGTATTAGTCATATTTGCCAATATGTCATATATCTCTTTTTAATATGGGTGTCAATGGTTTCTTTCTATTCGCAGTCACCCACCGTATACAAGTAAACACTTCTACCACCGTATAGAAATGTTTACGGTGTCTATAAGGTTTCCTAGTCCAACTTTCCATGTCTATGAAACACATTTGTAACTATTTTTTTCACAAATAGGTATAATATCTGAGGTTTTTCCCGATAAATATTCTGACATTTGTGAGTATAATACGTAAGATACTTTTTCCAGTAGTTAGTACCATTTCCAATATTCTTTTGTAAAAACAAAAGTCATAACCTAATCATATTCTTTTGAATGGAGTGATTGAAGGATGTTCAGTTTTCTTTTATTAAAACTACACCATTACAAGTGAAAATATGTAATTAACTGGATATTTTATTATAACATGAAACTAATTGCAACTCTGACAGACATGAATGAATCAATTAATTTTTGTTCTTGTTTCATAATTTGTATTACCTTTTTTTATACCTATATTAACAATTTCAATAATATACTTTATGAATATAGATTAATTAAGTTGGATCATTTTGAAATTTTAGTGCATGGTGGATTCATACATCAGTTTCAACTAGAGGAAATACATATTTTCCATTTGTTACTACTTTCATGAATTTTGCTATTTAAAATCTGTGATCCAAGACTCAGGACTACTGCATAAATTCATCTTGAGAAATTGAATTATTTTGTGATGTTCATAGTATATAAGAAACCATTTCTCTTAGAAAACTGTATTAAATATTGTAAGATTTCGGATAAGGAGATTCTTGCAAATCGTGTATCAGTGAAAATAGCATTCTAGGGTCATATTTTGTGAAGGAAATCAGAGTTTTTTTTATCGACAACATTGACATATTACATTCCAAAACTCCTTTGACATCTGTCCAGGAAGTCTAGAAATAAAGCATACGAGCGAAGAAAAAAACTGCAAGTTACTTTAAAATTTTTCAATTCTAAAGACGAAAGCAGAAACGTTAAACAGTATCAATATAAAGTGTTTCATAATGCATTAGTGAATTTAACTATGATTCAGTTATTCATTGATGTACCTTGTATTATTTTGGTCTTTGGAAATCCTCTTTTGTTCATAGTACATTTCAAAAAATTTCTTGATGTCTGGCAAAAAAACAAATATAATAAAATCAATATATAATTTATTAAAAAATCTTTTTACAACAATAAATTACAAACACTATAATACTGAATTTACAAACTCTAACAATTTATGTCATAATTAGTGTGTCATAAATAAAAAAAAGTGAATGTCGTTAGTTATTAACTAAGCCTTTAGCAGCTTTCAATGTGTTAGACATAAGCATTGCTACTGTCATTGGTCCAACTCCCCCAGGTACAGGTGTGATATGTCCAGCAACATCAAAACATCCTGAAAAAAATGAAAATTTTATGAAAAAACTACAACATCCAAATAACCATGTTGAACTAACATACTCTTAAAATTCAACAGAAAAAATAAAAATAGGGGACATTATCGTTTTGACAATTACTGAGGAACCCAAATCCCTTTGATACTTTCAACTAACTTGATATTGTAAACTATAAACTCACCTTCAAAGTCAACATCGCCAACTATTTTTGTCTTGCCATCGATAGTAGGAATCCTGGTAATTCCAACATCTATGATACAGGCTCCAGGTTTGACCATATCTGGTTTTATCAGATTAACAACCCCTGAAAAAATTTCAGTAGAAAAGAAAATGTAATTTTTTTGTGACTCCCAACTCTATTATTTCATTATCTGCACCAATAACTCAACATACCTGTTGCACTGATGATAATATCAGCCCTCTTTGCAAAATATGTCAACTCTTCTGGAGGAGTGTATCTGTGACAAACAGTAACGGTTGCATCAAAACCAGGATATTCGTTTCTTCCATCAGATTGGAGTAACAACTGTATAGCTTGGCCTACATTTTTAGATCTTCCGCAAACAACAACATTTTTCCCAAATGTTTTCACATGTGACCTGAAAAAAAAGTTGATTTAATTTTAAGTGAACCCTAAAAAGTAAGGTAGCTATATGAATAGGTTATTTTACATCAGGTCATTGTTGAAAGGATAAGTGTATTGTAAAATAATTTTCTTAATGCAAGTTTAGATGATCACAGATCATTAAAATCAGTATTCAATTCTACAAGATTTGGGTATACTAGATGGGCTGAAGAGTTCGTAGACTAACACACAGATGGGGCTACAAGTATTGAATCTATATGCTTTTTAGTTAACCCTAACCTTCAAAAGACAGGTGTACAAATTCAACAGCTGTTAGTTTGAAGAAAATGGTTAAAAAAGAATTTTGTGTGTTGATGAAGCATTGCTTTTCGGCGAAAAAAAATACTTGGCTTGATAAACATTATTCGGACTTTAAAATGGATGATGAACAATGGATAAAACATTTCACTCCAGAATCAAATGATTGTTATCGACTATCTTGAAAAGGGAAACCCATCAACAGCGACTGTTACATACAAAATCGCGAAAAAACGATCTTATTTGGAGAAAAAGAAAGTACCGTTTCATCAAGACAATGCAATGTGTCACAAATCGATGAAAACGATGGCGAAGTTGCATGAACTGGGCTTCGAATAGCTTCCGCATCCACCATATTCTCCAGATCTGGCCCATAGCGACATTTTCTGTTCTCAGACCTCAAAAGAATGCTCGCGGAAAGAAATGTAGCGCTGATGAAGAGGTAATCGTCAAAACTGAGGCCTGAGACAAATGGTATCAGAAAATTGCATGATCGTTATAGAATAGAATATAGCCTTATTTTCAGGAATGACAATCATAGTAAACGTATATCTAAGAGAATCTCGCAGTTATCAAAATGAAAGAAAATAGTGTCAGGTACAGTGTTTTTTTATATGTACCTTTGTCCAATAATATGATTGAAGCAAGAAGTTAATGAATGAATAATAAATCCGAATTAATTAAATCTTTTCACCTTTTTATGAGTTCAACCACTCCCAATGCAGTGCACGGCACGAATGTATCAGTGCTCGCCGCCAATTTGCCCATGTTCAGGGAATGGAATCCATCTACATCTTTCCTAGGGTCCACAGCGTTGCAAACCTCCCTCTCACGTATATGATTCGGAACAGGCAATTGAACTAAAATTCCATCGACTGATGGATCATCATTGAGTTCCTTGATTTTATTCAACAATTCTTCTTCAGTGAGAGTATTGGCTAGTTTCAAAGTAGTACTATTTATTCCTGGAATTAGAAATTCAAGTCAAACTCGTTCATTAACTTGTGGCGGAAGAAATTTGTACTTCATATAAAATTGAACAAAACTACTCAAACAATCAACTGCATTTATTCCTGAAGTTTGCAGACAAGGTCATTGTCTCTACAGTATTTACTGAATTCATTACATGCATAATTACCCAAGTTTACCAGATTTTCCAAGTTTTTATGGGCTAGGCAGCTTAAAGTACCATTCTATTTGGTGTGGTACAGGTATCGTAGATGTCATTTGAAAATATTATAAAAAGAAATGGTCCCAATATAGACCCCTGGGGCACTCCTAACTCAGCACTCTTACAGTCAGATTTGCTATTATTTATTACTGTATTCCATAATTACATTTGATGGAAAGTTCAAAGGAAATATAGTACGTTCTTCAATACAGATTTACTTGACATGTGTCAAGTCTATTTTATTTTATCCATGATAATAATTATTATTGAATTTTCACAATAAATTTTGTTTAAAATGTGTTTCGCTACATGGTAGCTTCATCAGTTACTGTTACATCAAACTATTCTACAGTATCTTTTAAATAACAATAGGTAATGACCAAACTTATTAGATGAATCAATAAATCTAGTAAAACAGGTAGATTTTGAATAAACAATTAGGTACAATATAATATTACTTCTACAATTATTAACATTTTACGAGAACAAGTTCAATAATGGTGAATGAATGACTTCCTGTTGGTCGTTTAAATCATTTAATTGATTGATTTCCAGAGATTCTAGCAGGTTTAATTTTTTCCTTTATTTTCTGTATGTAATATATTGTAGTCGACGTAGTCCATATTTTATTGAATAACACTTATACACCTCGAAATTCAACAAAACGTATGCTTAATTCAAATCTAAAGAAATGAACTTTAAACATTCAAGATAGACTCGAATATACCTACACGGTAGGTTGAAACCGGTCTGCAAGTGTGCCCGTTCCAAAATTGAAGGTCGACTCTTTCTGTTGTACTGCCAATTGCATATGCAGGAAATCTTCTGTGAAGATTCCTGCACTGACGCCTGTCGGATATAATCCAACGCCCTTCGTGGTATTAGCCAGGGGAGCAGTTGTTTTCTGATGGCGTCAGTCCATTCAACCTACTGTGTAGGTATATCGAGACTGGCTTGAACGTTTAAAGTTCATTTCTTTAGATTTGTTTACTGCCAGTCTTGAAGCATAGCCCACTGACTAATGAGAAAGTTTTTCTTCCTTATTCAGAGGAATCGGTCAAATTACGGATATGCAGTAAGTTAGTACCTCATCCACTAGATGGAGTGACATTTTGTTGTTTCGCTCCAACTTAGGAAGAGGAATGAAATACTCTGAAAAAATTCCAGTTTTCAATTATGGAATATTATTGACTTTAGGTCGATGATGGCCACTATCTCGCACTGATGAGTGGCTAATGAGCACGAAACCGGTCTGCAAGTGCGCCCGTTCCAAAATTGAAGGTCGACTCTTTCAGTTGTATTGCCAATTGCATATGCAGGACATTTTCTGTGAATATTCCTGCACTGACGCCAGTCGGATACAATCCAACGCCCTTCGTGGTATTAGCCAGGGGAGTAGTTGTTTTCTGATAGGCGTCAGTCCATTCAACCTACTGTGTAGGTATATTCGGGACAGGCTTGAATGTTTAAAGTTCATTTCTTTAGATTTGTTTACTGCCATTTTTAAAGCATACCCCGCATTTTTCAATTTTACTTCTTTTCAAAACTTAAATCCATTCAAAATACGCAAAAAAACTGCATATCGACAATATGCAATGTGCATTGAATTATAAAAAGAATGAGAAAGTTTTATTTATATTTTGTTTGGCACAAAATAAAAAATAATCGATATGATATTTTCTTGAAACTTAAAAGTTATGACTTCATAAATCAGAATGTCATTTACAGTAGTCATTCCAAAAAATCAAGTAGATTGAAATTTATATTCAAATAATACTCACCGACTTTTTTGGCGGCAATCATCTTGTTTTGAACATATTTCTTGCTGGCTGGATCTTCGCCTACCAAAATTGCAACCAAACATGGTGAACGGTGTCCTAAACTCACCCATTCATCTATGTCGACCCTCAATTCCTTCTGGACCTCTTCAGCAATTTGTTTTCCATCAATAATTTTTGAACTTACCCTAGAAAAATAAGAATGTTTGAATTTAATTTCAATGTATACAATGATCATTACCTCCAACGCATTTCTGAATCAACTTTCAAAAATCAAATCAATAGATCTACTCTATAAAGCTTCTGAATGTTTTATAATCGGAAATCAGTTTCTTGGAGATATTTATATGAAAAAATGACGAAATAATTACGTCAGCAACTTCGAAAATAGTACTGGGGGAAAATAAGTTAGAAAATTCTCTTTATCAGTTATTGTCGTCACATAAGGTTATTACCCCATTCAATTTTGTTTTGATACCAATCGAGCTAATAATTTTGTGCAAAATATTTGTTCAAGTACTGTGACATAATTGATTTCCCCACATCATAGGTCACATTGAAAGATACAGAAGTGAATCATCTTAGATTTCCCTATTTTTGCAGTGTGGTTCCGAACAATTTTGAAGCTCATACAGTTTCAAAGTTGAAGTTTCAAAAAATAAGGTGAATTTTCATTATCCCCAAAAAATATTTAGTTATTCTTCAATATAATAATAATTGCTTTTATTGACAAAATGCAGTACAACATATAGTAGATATAAAAAAAACAGGCAGTTCTTGAATGATATCCTACATTTCAACCGTTTTCATAACAATAATTACCAATGAATTATAATTATTAACCACTTATGCTATCACCTATCCTTATTTCGTTCAATGAACGACAATGAAAAAACAATAAAAAAAAAATAGAAAAATGTTAACTAATAATTCGCCTACAAGACGATAATGAAAACTAGTAAAGAAACAGAAAAATGTTGGCTAATTATTTTACCTAAAATCAGATATTTGCTTGTATATACACATAGGCATTCATATACACACATATATAAGTGGATCATTATTTACAGCTAGACAATAAATTTGGTAGAAAAAATTAATTTAAAAGTAAATCATCTTTCAGCTTTTTTCTGAATTTTGCAGGCGACAGTGTCTTCAATGAGTCAGGGAGTCGATTATACAGCCGAGATATATTATATGAAAAGGAGCATCGAAATAATGAAGTTTTATAGGATGGAGTGGCTAGATGATGTTTGAATCTCAAGTTCATGTGATGAACGTCGGTGCGGAAGCTGATCTTTTCATAAAGATAACTCGGTACTTTCGTAGAGATTATATTATGAAATGCAAGAGTGGAATATCCTTCAGGGCTCCATATTCAGCCATCCTAGACTACTCAAACGATGAGAAATATGTTGTTGCCTTTTTGTTCCAGTGATAAGTCTTGTTGTTGTTGTTGTCTTGTTGTTGGACTGTCTATTGAGAATCTCCCTATTCGAATATATAGTTTTCAAGCTGCAATATCCCCTCTTCAGGATTAGTGAAACATGAGGTGAAAATCTGAGAGACTGATCTATTGTGAGATCAAGATTTTTTGTGCTTTTCTTTAATGTCCCCCCTCCCCTTTATTTTTTGGACGGGTCAACTCACAAAAATTGAAATTTGAGATAATGAAATTAATGCATGAATACTTTATTTTGAAGTGAAATTGACAGATTAAACATACAAGATGGCGACTGGGCGCCATCTGTGAAAAAATTAAATGGAAAGGGGGGTCTTGTGACACATCACTTTGAAGCTCCTGACGAATGCTTCACAACCCTAGAATATGATATCAATATTTTCAACTACTACAAAACAGCGGAACTTTTAATAATTGCTTGAATACATTGACATTCAACTACATAATATGAGATAATAAGCTTGATGTCAGTTCAGAAGATGCTCGAAATGGTTGCCTTGAACTTCTTAACATATGAACAGCCTATCCGATATTTCACGCCGAACATTATCGAACACATCAATATCTCTACAAATATTTATTATTCTCTGTCGTATATCCAATATTGAAGCAGGTTCAGTATTGTACACCTTTTGCTTCAAATAGCCCCATAAAAAAAAGTCCAAAGGTGTCAAATCTGGCGGGCGGGCTGGCCATTCTGTAGGACCTCGACGGCTAATCCAACGACCGGGAAAAGTAGTATCCAAATGGTGGTGTTCCATCTTGTTGGAATACAATATCCATATCGAATTCATTAAGATTCGCTTGGACGATTTCAGTGATGAGAGGGTCAACAGCATATTCAAATACAGTTCCCCTGTTAAATTTTGATCAATAAATAGAGGTCCTACAATACGGTTTCCCAATATTCTTGCCCAAACGTTAATTTTTTCTGGATATTGGGTATGTGTTTCCCGGAAAACGTGAGTGTTGGTGTCACTCCAATAACGCCAACTTTGTCTGAGAACATTGCCGTTTTAAAAAAAGTACATTCGTCACTAAAAAAAATATTGTGGAGATAGGTAGGATGTCTTGCAATGGTTTCCGTCATGATTTCGCAGAATTCTGTTCTTCGATCAGGGTCTCTTCAGTTAATTGGTGTACCATTTTAATTTTGTATGGATGATACTTATTTCTCTTCAAAAGTCTCTATACAGTAGGATACACCTCACAAACATTCGCGACGGAATAAGTAGACTGTTCAGAATTTAATACCATCTCACCAATTATTTGCACTGCCTGTTCTTCCGGAACGGACGGATGACCCGGGAGCTTTTTTGTTATGTACGGTTGTCGTGAATTTGGATACAAGTTCCCTCAAATATTTTCTACAGATAAGATGATTCGAAAAACGTTCATTAAAAATCCGTTCGGTCTCCTGAAAGTTATGCGTCGCACAGTAAATAAAAATAGCTTCAATGTTATCTTCCAATGGACGAGAATTGATGGCGTCCAGTCGCCATCTTGAAAATTTCATCTGTCAATTTAATTTCAAAATAAAGAATTCATGCATTAATTTCATTAGGTATCCCAAATTTCAATTTTTTGAGTTGACCTGTTCGAAAAATAAAAGGGGGAACATTAAAGAAATGTCCTGTATTATTCAGCTTTTTTCAAATCCTCGAAGTAGTTTTATTAAGCACTTTTTGGTATGTCCTTAAACTCTCTTAGCGATTCGGTTTTTATGTCCTCAATTCGTCGCAAAACAGCGACCTTGCCTTCAATCTTAGGAACAGCGAAATATCGCATGGGTGCAAATCTGGTGAATACGGTGGCTGAGGCATGATTACGGTCTTGTTTTTGGCAAAAAAATACGAACAAGCAATGACGAGTCAGCAGGTGCATTCAGCAACTTGGAAAGAACTTCGCTGCAACACGCTTCATGTCCAAAATTTACGATAAAATTTCATGGCATTTTCAACTTTTGAGAGTTGTCGTTCGTAGAGGCGCGAGAGCTGGTTAACGCAAAAATAGATTTTTCAATTCAATTCCTTACTGAAACCGTATTTGTAAATCGCGGATAATTGTAGATTATCGGTTTGAAAACTCATCCCTAACAGTTCCTTGAATACTATAGAGTCTAAACAATAGTGAGGCCAATATCACTCCAAACAGTACCTCCACTTAATCAAAAACTCGTCTTGGTTTTTCACAGTTTGTCTTCAATCGAGGATCGCCTGTCCATTAGGCTGAAACAGTTGTTAACCGGTGGTTCTTGCATTGAAATCAAATTGTGAATGATCTGAATAGTACTAGTTTATTTATCTAATTCATTTTATGGAATTATTTTCCTTAACTATTTTTTATTTGGATTTTCAGATATATATCGAAACACGAATCCATTATGAAGAAAAAACAATTTCCAGATTTTTTCACCGAAAAAGGACCCATACAAACAATAGTAACACCGCTTAATTTTGGAAACAGTACATACTGGATGTCTTCCGTTTTAACTGAACATAATGTTGCGCCTCAGCCTACTTACATGAAACCATATGATGACAACGAAGGGGGCTTATTGGATTGTGGAGAGATTGAAGAAAATTATGAAATAGTTTTAACAAAGTCTGGGAAGTTTATGACCTCATTTTATGTACCTTCTGCATTGCTTTCTTACATAATTGGCTCAAAGGGTTTGAAATTGAAGAGTTTGCAGAAAAATACTAATACACTGATTAAGGTACCTAAACTTAACGAAAAAGGTGAGATTAAGATAACGGGAGACACTGAAAGAAAAGTGGCATCAGCTCGAACTCAGATTTCTATGATCGTAATGCAAAGAAAAGATAAGTTGCCTATTAGCCACTTTGTGTCCATACCAATTGTTTCGGAGAATATTAGAGAGAAATACAAACGTTTTCAAGACGAAATTCTCAATGTAATGCCTAGAGGCGTAACTCAATCCATTTTTCAACAGCCCGAAAAACTGCACCTAACAATTTGTACACTCACTCTACTAGACGATGAGGAACTACATACCGCAAAACAAGTATTGGATACTTGTCACAAAGAATTCATATCCAACATCCTGGACAGTAAACACTATAAAATCCATCTAGATGGAGTTGAAATCATGAATGACGATCCTAGTAGTGTTAATGTTCTTTACGGAAATGTTCGAATGGATAGTCCAGAGGAAAACGAAAAATTGCAGGAAATATCTGACAAAATCTCTGAATACTTCTACAGATCAGGATTAGCAAAAAAGCAATATGATAATGTTAAGCTCCATGTTACTCTGATGAATACTAGTTTCAGAAACTCTGGGGAGAAACAGGAGAGTTTTGATGCAACCAATATTTTGAGGAAATATAAAAATTATTATTTTGGGTCTGTTGACTTGAAAAATATTCATCTATCAGTAAGATTCACGGGTAGGAATGAATATTATGAGTCTGCACTAGTGATAGATATTTGATGAATTTTCAATAAAATTATTTTGATAAAGCAATAAAGTATTTTCAAGACCTTTTTACCTCGAACTTGGCACAGGAACTTGCTTTAGTATGTTATTAACAGCTGATATATTATTTTGTACAAATTTGATTATTTTTGAGGAAAGTGACATTTTTTCCAAGCCGCATTCAAAACAAAATTTATATTTTTTAGGTTAGGTTACAACAAAAGTGTGACCTAATTTTTTAACCTCGTGTCAAGTCAAGACTCAAATATCGTAAAATAAAAATACATTCTCTCAGTAGGAATTGACTAGTACATTTCATTAATTAAAATCGTTGCTGGGGGCATCTCTCATGCTCGAAGATAAAGAGTTCAGTAAAAGGTCATAAGATATCAACAGTATGTATTTCGAACAGACTTATACACAGTGACCAAAATTTACCATTACATTGAGATAACTTGTGAATTTCATTCGTTAAAACCGAAATAACTTACCCAGACGTACACATTTTTTCTGATTTGTTGGGATATAGTTGAGACCAAGACGAGGAAAATGACAATGACCTTTTTTTCTTTTTTACAAGCACCTCCGAAAAAATCAAGATGGCGTTAGTATAGCAGAGTTTTTACAGGTGGTTATCTGAGGTCTTATCATTAAAAAAAAGCATGGAGTTTCACTGAAAAGCATTAAGTGAATTTCAAAAAAGTGATCTAGTGAATTTTAGAACTACCTGAAACCTCCATGATTTATCATTATTTATTGTGGCGGCTTACCGAAGTAAACAACCATTGACAATAGACATATTGGAATAGTGTTATACACAGGGTTTTATATTCCCATGCAAATATTTTTTGGTATTCTCAAAGTGGCTTAATGCGCCTCAATGGAAGCAAAAGCCATTAACATAGAGAGAGAGAGAAGTGCAAATGGAATAGATATTTCCATAGGAAAAAAATTACGTATCTCTTGGAATAAATATCTAAATATTGTTAACCGTCCAATGAAATCACTGGAAATCTTGGGAAATTTTGGATTAATATCTATTGAAAAAACCTCTCCCTCTCCTGGTTCGTAAAAATTTACAATTCTTCCATGCGAACCAAAATACAAACGGATTGGTTTAAATTTTCCAAAAATTGAAAATGATTGTGTCTTGTATACTTTAACGAGTGTTGGCCAACCTGAAAGACAATACGACGGAAAAATAAGTTTGGGATTTACAAAATAAGCTGTGTAAATTGCGATAAAAAGTCATAGATAACGACTACAGAACAAGTGAGGAATGTTTGCAATTGTAGGGACTGGTACATGTTAATAGATTTTTAGATGCCTTTTAAAGTTTAGGAATTGAAAAATGTGGAATGAGTTCTGTGAACTGTGACAAAGGTCCTATTCCTTATTACACTCTTACATAATCACAAGTTGAAAACAGGTGGAGATTAGATACAGATCAGGTAGCATTGGGAACTAGGTATTGATTTAATGACCCTCATCGTGTGAGATAATGATTCGTCTGTATACGTAAAGAAATTAGCAGAGTCGATAGAAGAGGTGGTCTTATTAATCTCCTGATGACGCTAACTTGGTTAGCGAGACGCACTTCGAAAGAGAGCAATTTTGTTCTGGTGCGGGAAAATAGTTTTCCATAGATACATTTCAAGCCAGAGGTTGCAAATTCCAATCTTCAAGTTGGATTTTTGTGTTGAATATGGAAAGGAATATGAAAAAAAAGGTGCCGAAATTAGAGTCTTCTCTGAGTTATTGTTTTTTATTTATTTATCATTCGATATTTTGAAAAGGAAATCATAACAGTCGAATATTATCAGTTGAAATGTACGAAGTAATAATTTGTTTCATATTTCAGAATTTATGTTACTTGGAAATTCCGATTTAAATTTGGATCGAATAATGTGAGTTGCGAATGAATTCAACTCAGGTTAAGAAGTTAGGTTGTGTTATAATGAGAAAACGTCTAAATTTTGAGTTTGAAGTCAGAATTTCCAAATAACATTATAGAAAGTGAGGTTAGCATTAAACTTTCAATAGAATGATTTGTAAATCGAGTTGAAAATGTCAATTAACAGATTTGTTTTTCGGGCTGTTGAGATGAATGTATAGATAGTAGTGCTCTTGACAAAGATCAAAATCATTCCATTTCATTGCTAAACATAACGGATGAGATATATAACTTTGATGTGACATTCAAAATACAGGGCGGTTCGTGTTCTAGTACTAGCTAATTCATTCAAACTCAAGTCAATTTTTTATTCTTTGGAATGTAGTATGTTGGCAAAACTAGCATTATTTTTATAAAATCATTTCATATATGTTTTCATTATACATTTTTTGTCATACTGTTCATTATTGTTTTTTATTGCTTAGAACGGTTTTATCAATCGCTAGCTTAAGTTTTAATTATAAGCTAAATTTCCGGTAAAGTATTTGACGAAAACATGCGATTGGCAGTTGAGGAGTCAACTGATACCTAACTTTATCAACTTTATCAGTATATTGAGAAACCGAATCTTAGTTACCAACTACATGTAGTGCATCTGTTTATGCAAAGTTCTCTTCATTTGACTTGCGCGGACATAAAGAGAATTAAGCGGATTCATGATCGAAAACTCGTGAGCAATAATGTGAATATTTGGATAAGCATGATCGAGTTTTTCTCCCGTTCTGAGGTTCACTGTTTTGTCGCCAGACTCTGTGTTCTATCGGTTCTGTGACAGTTGACAGAAATGACATTTGAGTTTTGATTTTGACAGCAATTTAAAAAGTAAAGGAAATTTGGAAAAATATTAGTTGTTTTGAAACGTTTCGTATTTTAATAAAAAATTAAATAGGAATGTTTCAGTGAGCGATGGGCACTGAAGCAATTTATTTTAATTGTTTATTAATAGGTTAGTGGGGAAAGAGAGTTTATAATTGTAATCAACATAAATATTTTACAGCTTCATTGGTGAGCTGCCTGATTTGTCAAGAAAATCTTGTAACTGAAAATGTCAACCTTTCCCAGGAAACGAATATCGTCGAAAATCTTAGTGAAACTTCTCCCAACAGTACTATAAACGAAGATGAGCTACCAGCAGAAAGCGCAAATAAAACACAAAAGTTTGTAAACTGTCTCACAGGAATGGGTGACTCCGCCGTCCAACTCACAAATGACACAGAACTCTTCAAACTTTTACAGTCAAATGTTAATATTACTGACCGGGAAATTCCATCATTGTGTGTCGTTGTTCTGTTCTACAAAAAATACTGCCCATTTTCTGCTTTGGCAGCTCCACACTTCAATGCTCTTCCCAGAGCCTTTCCCGATATCAAAATGGTAGCTATAAATGCCAAGATATTCCACATGTTGAATACTCAAAATGGTATTGTTGGAGTTCCCACTCTGATGTTATTTCATAATGGTCGATCTGTTGCAAAGTATAATGGTTCGGAATATACATTAGAACTTTTCTCTCAGTTCATCAATAGACACACTGGTATAGCTGCTGCTGAAAAATCTACTGTAACCTCTGCAGATTTTGCTGGTCCTGTCAAAACTAGTCCTGTGAAAGATTATGATATTTTCCTGATAATATCATGGTTGTTTGTGATAATGTGTGGAGGATACTATTTTACTAAGTCAAGGTGGTGGGAGTGGATCATTGAAAGTATCCAAAGCAATTGGAGGGAGTCGGAAGCACATGCACAGCATGAACATATAGAATAGTTAATTTATTGATGTGAAGGTATATTAATTTTATTTATGATAGATTTTTTCCATCTAGTAGTTTGAAAAGTAGCTTCAACGTTTAGATGAGAACAATAAATGTTTTTTTCTGTGTTATGAAGGAGCAGATCAGAGTGGCAGACCCGGGAAAGATATTTTATTTTTGGTAACGAATAACTTGATGAAAACAGATCAGAACAAATTCTATGTATTGTATTCGTCAAAAAAAATGTAAACGGGCCAATTTAACCTAAGTACTTACGTAATATAAATTATAGAACAACTTTTCTCCTATTTTCAACTGAAAATCTTGTTTATATTTATGAAAGGAACTGTAGAATAAATAGTTTAGGTTATTATTTGATATTGTCTCCAATTTGTAATCTTTATACACAGTGCCGGCCCGAGGCAAGTTTCAGAATGGAGCAACATCCAATTATGCCACCCTCTTGCTTGTCCAATTCTCCTAATATATATCAGTTGTGTGTGCACTTATAAGCATGGTTCATGGAACTGAAAAGACCTAAGTCGAAGTCTACAGTGCCACAAGCCATGCTTGTGTCACTATACTTCTTACGACACATATAGAAACAGTTGATGTGGAATGACAAAACAAAATGCAATATGCATAATACTTGTTATTATAAATATTTACTGTAAATGTGCTCATTAAAAACAAACTCTTCAGGTTCAGGCTAGATGCTCCTGATGATAAAATAATAATAAAGTGTTGAACAAAATGATATAATGAAAAACATATCAAGTCAATTTTATTGTGACCTGGAACTGGTACTTGTTATGTTAATTGTGTAAGAATTGATGTAACAAACTCTTTAGGGTTTCGCTAGATGTTCCTAATAATAAGATAATTGATTAATAAAAAGAGAAATGAAAGTTTCTATGTTTTTTACCATTTTTAATTGTAACTAACGTTACTGCAGTTAGGACGAAACTGCAGTAACGTTAGTTACAATAAAAGTGGTGAAAAACATAGAAATACAATAGTTATAAACTAGTTTATTGTATAATTTTGAGAATGTCCATATAGGACAAAACTGCAGTACCTAACGTTAGTTAGAATTAAAAGTGGTCAAAAACATAGAAATGAAAATTTCTCTTTTCATTATGATCTCCTACCACGTAGTAATAGCTACATCCATCAATTTATAGATAATTGATTCTTTGTAATATTTGGACTAGGAAGAGTGATATTGTGAGTTAGACGGTTAGCATAACTTGACTGTAACACAATGTTTTCCTTTCATTTCATTTTAACAAGGCAACCTGTCTCTGAAATCAAAAGACAAGCTAATGGAAGTATATGATGTACTGAAAAAAGAGGTCTACAGGAATCTTGAACTCTGTCTTTGCACAAATATCTCACAGGCCTTTTTTGAATGACAAAAACAGAATTTATTAATGTTCGGGAACTTACTCCTCAGAAATAAAGTCCATAGCGCAGGTGTGGTTCAAAAAGGGCGAATTAGCCATTCTTTACAGAATGATATTCAACTGAGTTGGATATAGATCTTATGGCAAAGCAGCCAGACGATAGCTTATTACACAGTTGGCTTATTTGCGATCCATAGTTCAATTTATTGTCATTAAAGAGTCCCAAAAACTTATTCCTTTGTTTATAGTTTATAGTAAATGATTTGCTGATCAATAAATATTTGATCTAACTGGCATTTGAAAGAAATTAAATTTGCATCACACTTTTCCCAAGTCATTTTCAATATTTGGTTGTAATGAATCAACATTATTGTTATGCCAAAGTATAAACGTGTCATCAGCAAAGACTATGAAATTACCTTCTATAGAAATATCAGCAAGGTCATTAATATACAATGAAAGGAACAAAGGGCCGAGGCCAGGTCCCTGAGGTACCCTACTTTCAATTTCCATCTTGTCTGATTTCATATTTTTAAAGTTCACTTTCTCAACACGGTTTGATTAATATGATTCAAACCATGAAAATATTTCCCCCAAATCCATAAATATGGAGTTTTTTAGCAATATTTCATGCTCGAATGCCTTTGTCAAATCACGAAACACAGCCTTTGCAACCTCACCACTTATTGGTGAAGTATTTGATAATAAGATATGGTACATAGAGTGAGAATTGTTTTCATTCGAGTGGATATTAGGGTCGTAATACAGGTCCATATTCAAAATAGAGGGCGACCCTTAGTCAGACGACACCCGGTATATGAATTCTATAATTATATTTGGATAGTATGATTAAAGTTCCAATAGTGAAGTGATAACATATTTTCAATATCTCTACAAATATTGAAGCTACATCAAAAGTAGAATTTTAAAATTCTCCTCATTGTTACCAGTAAGTAAGCAACATTGACCCGAATTTGAATAGCATTTTACATACATCAAGCTTTCATGCACTGTTGGGATACCCGGTGTCCACACTGTAAATAGAAATTTGCTCTTGCATAGCGCTCAAATCAATATCAATCGGTTCTTTCCACTACGAAAGTCAAAAACTACATTGTAGTTATTGAAAACCCCTCGTACAATCTCGCTCCTGAATTTAAGACGGAGCAAAAGACAAGTAGGATGGCATGTATCATGGACAATATCTTCCAAAACGCAGCAGGCATTAGTAAATGCACAGTTGCCAATTGCCAGTCGGTCTAGAAACTCGGTGGTAAAGAGATGTGTAGTAGGAGTGATGTGAGAATCACATGCGCTTTAGATCGATAGGCACATGTTTATTTTGTAAATAGCGAACCGCTTATCAGTCTTTGAATTTCTGAAGTTACAGAATAGCATGACATTTCGTTTACTTAACGGGGTGAATCAGCCAGTGCAATTTGTTTCTTTTGGAATAGTTGCAGTGCTTTTCGTGAGTTTTTTTGGAGGTCGCATACCAGTTTTGGAAGCAGAGGAAAGTATTCGGAGGTGCCGTTAGTACTTGAGGTATGTTGATTTGAATGTCTTGAAACAAGGGAGTGTATTGTTAGGTCACAGTTAGGTCATGATTTGAGATTAGAGAATGTTTTATGTGCAACAGAGATAGTAAATATGTACTTATGTTGTAATATTTTATGTTGATTAAGTAAATTTTAAGTAAAGTCACTAGAAATTTGAAAACAGAATCGGTTAAATACACGGGTGAATCATTACGAAAAAAATATTGTCAGCTCGCAATGAGTAATAACTACTTGATAATATTATACTTAAGTATAAATGCCGATATTTTCAAAGTATTAGTCAATATTTTGTCAAAAATAACTGGCTCCTTTCTATAAAATTAAAACGTGTGATGATAATGGACCCATTTTTCAAAATATATTTGTGTGTATGTCGATTTACCAAGATTTACAGAAAAATATAACAATAGAGTGAAGGTTCGATATATATCTCAAAAAGAGATTGATGATTATAGATACGGTAGGTACGTTAATGAGAAACATAACAATAATTTATCATATTCTGGACTCTGGACATTTGCGGCCTCCCTCTTTCTCATTTATCAATATTAAAGTTATTGCCAAATACTGTCATTTAATTAATCAATTATTTCACAGCTAACAATGAATTCAAACATTAGTTATTTGCTGCCTTATTTTGATTTTTTAGAAGTCATATTTCTGGTATCCCGCAAATAAATTTGATTACTTCCAGTGGTGAACTAAGATTGCGGTGGGGGTGATCTGTCTCGGGTCCCCAGTGGCGTAACTAGTATGATTGTGCATTTGGTGCCAACATTAAAAATGTTGAAAGCAATAAAAAAAAACTACAAATACTAGTATGTACCACACTATGACCCTTTTTACAATCTATTTGAAATTTCTTCTTTATAACTTTAGCGGCATTATTTTATTTTGAGTAGGATAGCCATTGTTATGGTGCACAGTTCACTACCTATAAGTACTACCTACTACCTAGAAGTACTTAGAACACAGATGTTATGAATGAAAAACCCAGATATAGGTGTCCTTTTATACCCAACCAAGATGCAAAATACCAAGTTTCATGTTTATAATGTTAGAAATGACAAAAGTGTCGTAAGAGAGTCTAGTCCTCTTCATAGTCCTTGTCTTGATGTTGTAAGGTGCATTTGCGTCAAATTTGAGCTTTCTAGGGCTGGGCGTTGATAAAAAACTATTTTTTCGATTAGTAAAAAAATGAATAATGATATTTTGACTCGATTTGGTATATATTATTTACTATTTTTTGCGAAATAGGCACTTCAAATACATCAATTTTTTTAGCAGACCTGAGCATCATTTACTTAATGGCTCCGGCCGGTGATATCAAATGTAACCCCCGTTTTTTTCAGAGATTATTATCAATTTAAAAACGCTTCGGTTTCACGTCCAATCAAAACCTCGATGAAAAATAGTGAATAAGTGAAAATGTTGTATTGGTGAATAAACTCTCTCATTCTTCGTTACATAAAAAAGTTATTTTTCAATTGAGACACATGAAAATAGAATTCTCCAACAAAGGAAATAGGTAAGATGAAAATATAATTTGGTTATTCGTTGATTTATATAAATGAAACTCAATTGATATATAAAAATCTTTCATTAGTTGTGAAACATTAAAAAATTCAATTTTCTACAGATACTTACATATTTTTGATACTTCTCAATGTGGAACCAATAAAATCTGCAAATGAAATTATATATCCTGTCTTGAGTTATATCCGAATCTGTATATTTCACTATATAATTCATTTCGCGTTTTGTCATTAAGTAAATGACTCATCTGTTAGTGGACATGCCATAAACATGTGTTTAATTCTAAAGAATGTATTATCAAGAATTTCTCATCAACTCAGTTTTGAACCACAAAAATACGAAACATGTACTTCGCACTTATTAGTTACTTTGTGAGAATGTAATTCTTGCTGTGAAATGTTTGATAAAGGTTATATACTGTCTCTAGGATCAATGGTTTTAACAAAATTATCCAAAAATTTGTAAAATGCAAAAAGAAATATTCACAAAAAATTGTGCCCTTATGGAGACGTGATTCTCAGCGAGATTTGGAGTTTTACAAATGCAACTGGTTTTTTATGAGGTATTTTTCAAGAAACTACATAACTCCCGAGGAGTTGTCTTCCTAGGTCATCGTCCATCCTGTCCTTTCCAGGAATGTGGACAGGTCACTGGGAGACATCTCCTTTATATCGGCAGGTGTAGGCCAAGACTCGCCGAACACACACTCTCTTTTTGATGATAACTCCGGGCACTGCCTGACAGTCTCATCTTTCTCTTCACACATCCTACATAGAGGTGCGTCCACTAGCCCCATATTATGGAGGTGTTTCCTTAGTTGACAGTGGCCAGTCAGAAATCCTACTGTTAAGCGTAGATTTTTCCTGGTCATCGCCAG